TTTGAACTCCTGACCTTGAGCAATCCGCCCGCCTCGGCCTCCCAGAGAGCTAGGATTACAGGCATGAGCCACCGCGCCCGGCCTAGAGAAATTTTTAAATGACATTGATAGCACAAAATATTATTCAAACTATCAGTTTTATTCAGCTCACAGATTTTTAAAATTTCTGTTTAGGCCATTTATAACAAATGTGAAAATTAGAACTGTTAGCAGACATATGCGTATGAATTGAGCAATGTGCTACAAGACAAATGACTGACATTTTTCAACTTTACTCAACACTGCAGTGTCAAGTCCACACCCTGAGTCCTTTCTGGATATTAGGAAACTGAGGAGAAAGAAATAATTGTCATTTACAGTGAAAATAACGAGAACCATACTAATATCAATCCCAACTTTGATCAAGCTAACAAGGCAAAACTGAGATTACACATTTAGCAAGTCTCCAAATTATCTCAATGGATTGCACAAATAACCATTAGGGGCTTAAAATGTAGTGCCCAAAGCTAGGCTCTATGACTAGACACAGTATAACAACTAAGGTAGGTGTTAGTTAAATTCTTAAATTTGTCTCAATTTCATCTTAATCTTGCCAAGCCAAAAAAGAAAAAAATTCCCTACCATTTTGACATTGAATACTTAACAGAAATTGAGTGAAAGTACCCTCAATTCATAAGTATTTTCTTTTTTATTAATACATAATAGATGTATGCATTTTCAACATACATGTGATATTTTGACATTCATGTAATGTGTAGTGATCACCTCAAATATTTGTCTTCCCTTTATGCTGGGAACATTTTAATTATTATCTTCTACCTATTTTGAAATATATAGTAGACTATTAACTATACTTACTCTACTGAACTATCGAACACTAGATCTTATTCCTTCTATCTAACTGTACTTTTGTACCCATAAACTAACCTCTTTTTATCTTCCTCTTCATCTCTACCCTTCTTGCCCTCTGGTAACCACCAATTGACTGCCTATCTTCATGAGATCCACTTTTGTAGCTCCCACATATGAGTAAGAACATGAAAGATTTGTCTTTCTGTGCCTGGCATATTTCACTTAACATAATGATACAAATGACAGGATTTTATTATTTTTATGGCTGAATAATAATACATTGTATATATATATATATACCACATTTTCTTTACCTATCCATCCATTGATGGATACTTAGGTTGATTTCATATCTTGGCTATTGTACATAATGCTACAAGAAACATGGGAGTGCAGATATCTCTTCAATATATTGATTTCTTTTCTTTTGAATATATACCCCGCAATGGAATTGCTGAATCATATAAAAGTTCTATTTTCAGCTTTTTTTTTGGAGGAATCTCCATACTGTTCTTCATAGTGGCTGTAATAATTTACATTCCCACTGACAGTGTACGAGTGTTCCCCTTTCTCTACATTCATGTCAGCATCCATTATCCCCTATCTCTTTGATAAAAACAATTTTGTGGTGAGATAATATCTCATTGTGGGTTTGATTTGAATTTCTCTGATGATTAGTGATGTTGAGCACTTTTTTATAAACCTGTTGGCCATTTGCATGTTTTCTTTTGAAAATTTTCTATTCAGATATTTTGCCTACTTTTAAACTGGATTATTTATTTTTATGCTATTGAATTTTTTTAGTTCCTTATTAACCACTTTGATACCATGCTCACCGGCCGAGAAACCTTGCCCACAGCGGGCACTCATAGTCCGCATGATAGTTTGTGCTGTGCATTGACGATGGATCCGGTTTGCTCTTGTGTGATGAGGAAAGCTTTAAAGCACTGAAAGCTTGTTTACTTTACAGGCAGCTTTACTTGTAATGTAAATCAGAATAGGTAACATATACATATATGTTTTCATTACGTTATTTTTAAATGTTCACAATTTTGTTTTGATAAATGAAAAATTAGCAATGTCATATCATGGCTGTCAGCTAAAGTCACTGTGCGCGTTCATCTGTGGCTGTCGGCTATAGTCGACACTCGTACGGAAGTGGTTAATTATTAATTAATCAGATGGATAGTTTGCAAATATTTTCTCCCATTCTATAGGTTGTCTCTTTGCTCTTTTGAATGTTTCCTTTGCTGTGCAGAATCTTTTTAGCTTGATATAATCCCATTTGTCTATTTTTGCTTTTTTTGTCTGTGTTTTTGAGGTCTTACTCAAAAAAAAAAAATCTTTGCCCAGACTAATGCCCTGAAGCATTTCCCCAATGTTTTCTTCTAGTAGTTTCATAGTTTTAGGTCTTCAATTTAATTATTTATTTATTTTTTTTATGGTTTCATAAGTATAAACATTTTATTTCAGTTAAAGGTAGAGAAATACAAAATAAGAAGTTTTAATAATTATAAAGTAGAGACAATGAAAAATCCCACACTATTCATTTTTAGACCTTTAAAATCTTGAACATTGTTTTGATGGATTTTTATGTAAACCAAGAATTTACACAACACTAGTATCTTGGCAATTCACTTTTTCTCAATGCTATATAACCCAGTAGCCATATATTAAACTCTCAATTTCTTCAAAGTGTTACCACTAGAACATTGAGTTATAGAGCAATTTGAAAAAGACTATACAAACTAAATTGTAATGTCTTTACTGTCTCCAATTACTACTTTAAAAAATAAAAACTGCAATAGTGAACTTACCTCAGTCCTTTCTACATGATTCAATGAGATAGGTATCTAACCTCAACAACCTTCATTCTTAAGTATGAGCATCTTCATGCTAATTAGAATTAGCTTTATTCTTTAATAACATCTGGGCAATAATAAACATTTAAAATAATAAATAATGCAAAATTAAAATTAGTTATGGTAACAATTAATTTGGTAATCAGTTGCCCAAGATGTATAGTGGAGTCAACACAGGCAGGTTTAACTTATAACATGCTCTGCAAAAAAGGGAAACATAATGTAAATATTTCAGGGTATCAAACTAGCCTAGCATTCCACTCAATGAATCTTTGCCACTCATTTTGCCCATCTCGTCTTAGTTCCTTTATCCTTTTATCAAAGGCATCTCACAGTGATGACTGAGTCTAAATTTTAATCATATGCACTTTGTATACAAAATGGCCCCTATATGCAAGCCAACTCTATATATACACAAAACCATGTAAACAATACTTCTAGGTGATTTAGGTAATTCTGACTACATACAATTCTCACCAAATGCCCTGACAAGCACCAGATTCTACTGCAACATGTTTTTAGAGATTTAATTCCATTCTGATTGTTGTGTTTACTGTCCTGAAGATCTGTGTCCTCATTGAAGAGTTGATGTTTGGTAAATATAAAATCCAGTAATTTTTGAGATTTCTCCATCACTGAAGTTGTGTTATCTTGATGGGGATAATACTATTAAAGTCCAAGAAAAAAGGTCCTTCTTGTTTAGGCAAGAAAGTACTGGGAATGATATTAAAGATCCCAGCAGGTATATTGTCTAATTCCAGGTAGCAAAACCCACACCGATAGTCACCACTAGATTTCCTTGGAAAGCCATGGGGACCAGGATCTCCCACCACAGAAACTGTTACAACCTCAAATCCAACACTGTATTGCCTTGGCCCTCGTAGCTCAATCAGTAATGGCCCAGTTTTTTCTATATGGAATTGGTAGATGGGATTATTTCTGTGAGTCTCTTGGAAATTTCCACATCCTCCAGCACTCTGACCACTCCACTTTCCATTAATCCGTTTTGATAAGGTGTATGGTGAAGGAATCTTCGAAAAAGTAAAGCTGCATGCTGAATACACCTGGACTGTGTAATGAATTGTGTTCTGTTTTTCATACTGAGACACCACTAATGTAAAGGTATGGGTTCCAGGTGTGGTCAGCTTTATCTTAGTCAAATAATGAGGGCTGTTAATTCGAATCCCATCAATGTATGGAGGTGGGTCAGCTGGGTAATAAACTTTTTTCCCATCAGTCTTGTATACAACCATTGTGATAAATTCTCGATTATTTGCAAAATCATCCTTGTCTGTTATGTGTCTACTAAGCAAAACCCAAACTGCAGCGCCCCCTTGTGGACACTGAACCTCCAGTTTGTACTGGGGGTTGTTGGCCAGGCTATAGGCATCTTTCACAGGTCCTTGCTCAGCATCCCAAGTACTGTGAATACATGTTGATTCTTTAAAAAGACCAGGATTCCAACTCAAATAAATCACATCATAATACTGGCAGAGATCATCCCAGGAAATCCAAAATATTCCATTGTCTATTTTCTGAGCTGTTCGGGGATCAAAGTTTAAATACTTTTGCAGCTCTGGAGTCCAGTTTTTTACATCATTTTCACTGTATCTTCCTTTCCAACGTAAATGACTCCAAGGACTTTTCAATTGGATAAATCGCAGCCCCTTGAACTCTCTAATATCCAAAACAGCATATGCATGTGTGGGAACCAAACCCCACTTCTCGCCTTCAGCTTCAGTCATCATTCCAGTTGATGCAGTGATGAGGACATCCCCTTTATGAAATCTTTGATAAAGCATTCTGCAAGAATTATCCTTACTGAAAGTTTGGCTATCTGAATGCATAGCAATCCTTTCCGGTATCCATCCAGTCAGTGCATGAAGATCAATATTTGAGTTAGATCCTGGAAAATCATATCCTCCCATGACTTTCATGTATGCTTTTTCTATGAGAGAAACCCATAATTCACTTTTGTTGTTGGAATAAGAACAAAGCAATTCTCCCTTATGATCAACAGGTAACTGGTCATCAATTATTACCTTTCTTGGCACACCATTGAGGTGAAGTTTTACCATATATTTTCCACATGGATTGTACTCTGGTTCACCATCCTTATTCTGAGGGTAAATTATGCTGGTAATCAACTTCTTATTAAATCGTCTTTCATAAGCTGCACTAATAGCCAATGATGCCACAAAGGAACAATCCGATACTATTGTCTGCTTTATGCTAAAACTAGACACAGTATATATCATTGTAGGATTGTTGGTGAGGTCTTTTGGTCGTACCCATTTGGAAAATGTAGTTTTTTGTTTAGGTGATAATGGTAGCTTGCCCCATCTATCACAGAAAGGCATTGGATAGGCAAAACGTTCTCTCAGATCAACATTCATAAAAGGAACATATTCTATACCATTTATTTTTGATGTTGTCCTGAGGACTTCTATTTCTTCTGCTGTGTATCTCTGTCCTTGTGCATCACATGACTGTGGACTTATAAATGGCTGAGGTCTTTCAAGGAAGGGATTAGATCCTAGTGGAAAATGTGCTCTTGTTGGAGGTGGCTTTGGTTTAATATTTGTTGACTTGATTTTACAAAATGGCTTTGTCAAAGGCTCACTCAATGCTTCTGCTCTATCTAGTGCCTGTCGAGCCAACTGTTTCAGTTTGTTTTGTAGGGTTTTATCAGCAGTTTCATAAGAAGTTTTCAGATAGAGATCCACAGCTTCTGTATACAATTCTATAGCATCTTCAACATTCTCTTTTTCATCTTCATCAAAAGCTTGTGTAACAAGGAAATGGGCACGCTCTAAGTCCAACTGATGTTTTGATTTCAAAGGATCAGCACTCTTTGACTGAACATATAGCCCAAACATGCACTCAATAAATGGTTGTTGAAATGAAGGAAAATATCTGCTGAATGTAAAGATTGAACTCTTTCCAGATACTCATTTATTTTTTCTTGAATACGTTCTAGGCTTGATCCTGCCATTTCAGCATAAATTAAGGCTTGTGCAGCTTCCTTGTAGTAAAACACAGCCTCAGGGTAGCGGCCCTCGTGGTCGCGCTGCACGGCCAGGCGGGCGAACTGCACGGCGTCCCGCTCGAGCGCCATAACGTCCATGGCGCCGCGGCCCCGCGCCGGGGGAGGGAGAGCGAGCGAGGGCCTGTCGCAGGACTGCTGCTCACTGCCTGCGATTATGGGGGTACAAATTTTAAGGTTTCAAATAATGCCCTTTCCCCTTTCCCCCCACAAGTCTGAGTTTCCAGCGTGACCATCCCCCAGATGTGCACATCTCACTCATTATGTATGTATACACCTGCCCCCCTCCCCCCTCCCACCTGCCCTATACCCTATTACTGTAGTTCCTATGTGTCCACTTAGGTACTGCTCAGTTAATTTAGCTGGTGAGTATATGAGGTGCTTGTTTTTCCATTCTTGGTATACTTCACTTAGTAGTATGGGTTCCAGCTCTAACCAGGAAAATATAAGATGTGCTATATATCACCATTGTTTCTTAGAGCTGAATAGTACTCCATGGTATACATATACCACATTTTATTAATCCACTCTTCGATTGATGGGCACTTGGGCTGTTTCCACAGCCTTGCAATTATGAATTGTGCTGCTATAAACATTCGAGTGCAGGTGTCTTTTTTGTAGAGTGTCATTGGATCTTTTGGGTAGATGCCCAGTAATGGGATTACTGGATCAAATGGTAGATTCACTTGTATCCCTTTAAGGTATCTCCATATTGCTTTCCACAGAGGTTGAACTAGTTTGCAGTCCCACCAGCAGTGTAGGAGTGTTCCTCTCTCTCCGCAACCACGCCAGCATTTATCGTTTGGGAACTTTTTGATAAAGGCCATTCTCACTGGAGTTAAGTGATATCTCGTTGTAGTTTTGACTTGCATTTCCCTGATGATTAGAGATGTTGAGCATTTTTTCATAAGTTTGTTGGCCATTCTTCTGTCTTCTTTAGAAAAGTTTCGGTTCAAGTCCTTTGCCCATGTTTTGATAGGGTTGTTTGATTTTTTCTTGTGGTTTTTCATGAGTTCTAAGTATATTCTGGTTATCAGTCCCTTATCAGATGTGTAGGATGCAAAAATTTTCTCCCATTCTGTAGGTTGTCTGTTTACTTTCATGACTATTTCTTTGGCTATGCAGAAGTTTTTTAATTTGATCATGTCCCATTTATTTATTTTTGTTGCTGTGTGATTGCCTTTGGGGTCTTCTTCATAAATTTTTTGCCTAGGCTGATGTCTAGGAGAGTGTTTCCAACATTTTCCTCTAGAATTCTAATAGTTTCATACCTTAGGTTTAAGTCTGTTATCCAGCGTGAGTTGATTTTTGTGAGAGGTGAAAGGTGTGGGTCCTGCTTTAGCCTTCTACAAGTGGCTATCCAGTTTTCCCAGCACCATTTATTGAAAAGGGATTCTTTTCCCCAGCGTATATTTTTGTCTGCTTTGTCAAAGATTAGATGGCTATATGAGGATGATTTTATATCAGGATTCTCAGATCTGTTCCACTGGTCAATATTCCTATTTTTATGCCCATCCTAAACTGATTTAATTACTACAGCTTTGTAGTATAGTTTGATATCTGGCATATTAATACCTCCCATTTTGTTTTTGTTGCCTAGAATTGCTTTTGATATTCGGGGTCTTCTTTGGTTCCAAATGAAGCATAAAATTATTTTTTCTATATCTGTGAAGAATGTTGGTGGGATTTTAATAGGTATTGCATTGAATCTGTAGATCAGTGTGGGTAGTATAGACATTTTAATGATGTTGAGTCTGCCAACCCAGGAGCATGGTATGGATTTCCACCTGTTTACATCCTCTGCTATTTCCTTCCTCAGTGTTTCATAGTTCTCCCTGTAGAGGTCTTTTATCTCCTTGGTTAAGTACATTCCTAGGTACTTTATTTTCTTTGTTGCTATTGTGAAGGGAATTGAGCCTTTAATTTGCAGTATAGTTTTTAATTGATTTGTAAGAGTCAGTATGTATTCTGGATACAAGTCTCTGTTGGAAATAGGTATTGAGAATGTTTTCTCATGGTCTTTTGGTTTTTTCTCTATCTTAATAGTGTCTTTTAATGAACAGAACTTCTTAATTCTAGTATACTCTAATGTTTTGTTTTTGTTTCCTTTTTGGGTAATGTTTTTTGTATCCTGTTTAGAAAATCTCTGACTACTCTATAATCATGAAGATGTTTTCGTATGTTTCCCCCCTAAAATTATAGTGATTTTCATATCATAATTATTACTGAAATCCATTTGGAATTGTTTTTGTACATACTAGGAAGTACAATACAGACATGCTTTTTTCAATATGTATAATGAATACACTCAATACCATTTAGTAAACCTTTCTTTTCTTGCTGTATCATAATGTCATCTTTATCGTAAATCACCATATGTGTGTGGAATTATTTCTAAGCTATTCTGTTTCACTGATGAGTTTGTCTACCTGTGCACCAACACCATACAGTCATATTCATTACAGCTTTATAATAAAACTTGATATCTGGAGTGAATGTCCTTCAGTTTGTTTTCCCTTAAGATTAACTTGGCTGGTTTTTGCCCTTTGATTTCCATTTGAATTTTAGATTGAGTTTGTCAGCTTCTCCCAAAAATAAAGGAATAAAATATTCCACTATGATTTTGACCATGATTTCACTGTGACCACAGAATAAATTGAGGAGAATTGACATCTCTGGACATTGCATTTTTCAATCTACAAACATGGTATATCCCTTCATTATTTAGGTCTTCTTTATTTTATTTTGAGAATGTTTTATAGTTTTTAGTGTAGAGAATCTGTACATATTTTGTTTTGTTTATTCCTAGTATTTGATGCTACTATAATTAGTATCTTCTAACTTTACATTTCTATGTTTATTTCTGCTATTTATAATTAATTTTTGTATATTTTATATGTTGCTAAGTAATTCTATTAGTTTATCTATAGAAGCTTTTGAACTTTTCTCACATTTCAGTTTTATTTCTTCCATTCCAGCCTGTATTCCTTTTTATTTATTTCATTCTAATCCATGTCCATTTTACTTCTTTATCTTGAATTATTACACTGGCAACTTTTTTATTATGTTGAATAGAAGCGGTGATAAAAGGCATCTTTGTCCTATTCCCAATCTCTAAGGGAAAGCTTTTAATATTTTGCCAACAACTATAAAGATTGTTGTAGAATTTTTGCAAAGATTCTTCATCAAACTATGGAGTTCTCTGATATTTCTAGTTTACTTTGACTTTTTAAAATTATGAATGGTGGTTGTATTTCTCAATTTTTGCATATATTGAGATGATCATATTATTCATCTTTTTCTCTTAATATACTAAACTACATTGATTGATTTTTGAATATAAAATTAACTTTGCATCTCAGCAATAAATCGTCTTCATTTGTAATATACTGTCCTTTCTCTGTATTGCTGGATTACATATTATATTAATTTTCTAGAGCTGACATAACAAAGTACCACAAACTGGGTGACTTAAACAACAGAAATTTATTGTCTTACAGTCTGGAGACTTGAAGTCTGAAATCAATGTGTTGAGAAGGTTGGTACTATCTGAGGGCTATGAAGGAATGATCTATTCCTGTCCCCTCTCCTTGGCTTGTAGATGACCATCCTTACATTCACATGGCATTCTCCTTGTATACCTATCCATCTTCAAATTTCCCTTTTTCAGAAGGACACCAGTCATATTAGATTAGGGCCCAGCCTAATGTCCTTATTTTAACTTGGTTATCTCTGCAAAGAGCCTATCCCAAAAAAGGTCATATTCTAAGATATTAGGGGTTAGGATATCAACATGAATTCTGAGGGACACAATTTAAACCACAACACATATGTTAATACTTTTGGTATAGAATTTGTGCATCTATTTTCATGTTAGAGATTGCATTGTATTTTTTAGTTATGTCTCAGTCATACTTTAATATTGAAGTTACTCTGACTTATATTTGCAAATTTCAACTTCTTTGATTATCAGGATGATTTGAGAATTTAAAATATTTGTATTTTATCTTTATATTTCATGGATTATCTCTTCATATCTTTAGTATCTTTTGTTATGAGGATTAATCTTTTTGTTATTAATTAGTAAGAACTTTTACCATGGGATAAGGATTTTTATTTCATTATGCTATAGTTTCCAGATTTGGTGGAATGGCTAAGTAATTAGACATTGTTAATAGTTAGGTACTCAAGTTTATAATTCTCTTTATAGCTTTTACTGTTTACTTTCATGTTTCCTCCTCATGAAATCCATCATTCGTGTCAAAATTAGACTATTTTCCAACAGCATTTTCAGTATACATTTTATTGCTCAATTTTTGTATTTGTATCTTTAACACAGCTGCAGTATATCTAAGGTATCATTTGACCACATAAATTTATGATTTGTGAACAAACCTAGTAGAAGGAGTGGAGCAATATGGCCACATAGATATCTCCAATGATTTCCCCCAACATGAACACCAAATTCAACAAGTGTCCACTCAAGGAAGCACCTTAGAAGAACCAAAAATCATGTGAACAATCACAGTACCTTGTTTTTAAGATTATATCAAGGAAAGAGACACTGAAGACAGCAGAAAAGACAGTCTTGTATTGCTGACACCACACATCTCCCATCCCCAAGAAGTGCCATGCCAGTGTGCTGAGTGGAGAGAGAATCTTTGAAGGGAAATGATTGTGGGACTTTGCATTGGGTCACTCTGTCATGGAGGAACACAGGAAGGTCAGACAGTCCCTTGGGGAAGCATCTACACATGAGGAAGGGTCATGGGGCAGATATTTGGGGCGAAACATTCTCCCAGTGAACACTGTAACACAAACTATGAGGGGTTCCCCCACCACAATAGGCCTCCAAACTGATCAGTGAGTTGTTTGGAGATTGTGCATTGCATCAGCATTGCAACAGAAAGCAGGTACAGTGGGGTCCTCCTGGCTTGTGATCCTGGGTCACTGCAACAGATGCCATTCTGAGCTCTCAGCACCAGAGCACCAAGTCTACAGAGAGGTCAGCTAGCTACACTGCAGCTGCCTCTCTATTCCCCCTGCCAGGCAGGGGAGGGTAAAGGGAGGGCATGCGCTCT